TCTCCACATTTTGCAAGCAATTGCCGACCTCCTTTCTATTCATTCCGGCATCCTCTCTGGAGGTTCTACTTCTGCATACATGTCAGCCACCCTGTCGGTCACAATCTCCAATTTTCTTTTGAGAGTTTGAAAGCTCTCTTCCAACCCTTAGAGATCAGGTTGGCGCAATTTCAGGCCATTTCGACACGATTCCTAACGAACTCCATCACTGGAAAGATGACAACACGCCGTCAAAAAACTGAAATTTGTGTTCCAGTTGCAAAATTTAATGCAGTTGGATAAGATCAGAGGTCGGTTTAGAGCTGATTGGTTCATTTTGCTCGACTGTCAATGAATGTAACATAGATTCTCTTCTGGCCTAGCCATATCAGAAAAGTTCTGAGAAACCACAGTAATAACTAATACTTTTCGCATCACTTTCCGTCATCGGAGGTCAGTTCGTTTCATTTAGCAAGTGGAAATGTACCAGTTCGTCTATGGAAGACACCGAACTGGATGCTGCATTTCATTGCAGAACAGGAGTTCTGGACAACATTAAGTTGTTACGAAACTAAACGGGTCCTTCCAACTTCCAGCAAATGCACATCTCCAATAATTTCTACTTCAAGCAGACGCATCCATTTCCACGGTGACATCTTTGCATGGGCTAGATGCAACTGAGAAAGGGTCCATCTGCAACGTCGAGGCTTATCATTTAAAACGATTTCATGGGCAACAATTCTGAACCCGTAGGCGGACAATCTCCCTGCGTCACCGTCCTAATCCGTCGCCAGCCAAGCACCTTCCGTCAATCAAACAACCTGATTCCCTATGTAGCACCGACACCGACACGCCACACACTACACGACACGACACGACACGCGACACGTCATTTCTCAAAAAATAGAAAATTCCGACACGTTAGGACACGTTATATATTAAATATATATTTTTATATATACATAATAAATTATTATTTTTAAATTTGATTTAAATCCACAAATAAATAATAATAATAAACCTATAATTTACTTCGTGTCTTGAAAAAATAAATAATAAAAAATGATGGCGCGTGCCGGGAGGGAGAGGAGGAGGAGCTATCTGCTAGAGGGGTTCTTGGTCCAGGAAATGGAGGAGGGTGGTGGTGGGTTCAGGGTCTGAGGATGGGGATTCGGGGGCTTGGAGCTTGGAGGATGCAAAGGGAGAAGATGAGAAATGGTGAGGAAATAGACGCAATCAGTGTTCTTCTTCCAGGCCTCCTCCTCGACGGACGGACGTCGTTGGTTCAAGCAAAGAAGAGAAATCACGAATCGAGAGGTGGAGGGAGAGCATAGTGTGAGTGAAAGCACTCTGAAGATGAGAAGTGAGAACCGAAGACTAGGGTTTTCTTTCACCTTTTTTTTATTTTTATTTTTATAAATTTATTTGTTGACTCCTAATTTTTTGAAAATTTATAAAATTGACCCCGTGCGTGTCGGAATAGCGTGTCGGGATTCCAGACTCACATGTTGGCAACGTGTCCGGCGCGTTGACCGCGTGTCGAATTTTCGACACCTATTGACCTCGTGTCGGAACGTGTCGGAGCATATTGCAACGTGTCAAACACGTGTCGCATGTCGAACACCGACACGTCGGCCTCCTGAACATGTTCGTGCTACATAGCTGAACCCTCGTCAGATTCCTCATCTCGCCACGTGTCGTGCCACCCACATCGGCTTTCTTGGTCGGTTCCCTTGAATCTCGGGACACTGTCGGACCCACACACGAGTATGACGAGGACCCATGTCACATCTCATCAGTAGAAGGAAGGCCTCGTTGATGTCCATTTTCAATTGGCGGGGGTCGGAACAATGACGTGGCGATCGTCTAGAAGGTCAAGTCCTTTTGATATAAATTATGAATTGGTTACGTGAATTTTTGGAGGATCATGGTATTGGCTTGATGCTCGCTATCAATCTAGGTAGGGATATCTCGATATACATAATGTTCAGAATATCCATTTGGACCAGGTCACTGGTAATATACGTGGAGAGACCTAACCAAGAGGGTAAATCTTGGTAGCCTTGACATTGTTGTGATCATGGTTAAATATTAAGCATACAAATTGATCAATAGAATTGACAATTAATATGTAAAATAAAATTGATCAATAAAATAGATCATTAATGTATAAGTATTTTTTATACTTGAAAAGCTTTGTGGAAAGATATAATCCAATTTCGGTATTGTACGTATATGAAATATGGAATTTGAGATAAATGAGTATTTTTGTAATTCAATGTTTATTTTTACTGTATTTGACTATCCACGTTTGATTGTAGGTTCTGGTTCTCTTAAGTGCATGAAGTCAACATAGTGCTGATGTATGCACCAACGTTGTGGAACGTAGTCGAATCGTCGCCTTTTTTTAAAGGAAATGATTGAAGATTGGAAAATGATTGGTTCTCCTATTACAGACTCCGAAATGCTTCCAAATGAGACAATAAAAAAATCACCCCATTGTTGTCATTAACTACATGGATGCCATTGAGTGGTATTCGGACCACTTTCGGCTTGTTTTCTTCGGGAGGATGCATGATCACTCTTGTATGTTATGTGCAAAACCTTTTTTGATTCGGTTTATGTCGGAATTAAGTCATTTGAGATGTTAGATTAAAAGTGAGAAAATGACTGAATTTTGGCTCAATGTATAACATAGTCCATGAACTTTTAATTTGTTCAATGTGATCCCTGAACATTTTGTACATGTCCAAACTAGTCTCTAAACTAAATATGAAAATAGTCAATATTGTCCTAGGGATAACATTGAACATTTTCGTATGATCTAAAGACTAGTTTGAACATATATCAAAAATTCAAAGACCGCATTGAACAAATTAAAAGTTTAGGGACCTACATTGAACAAATTGAAAGTTCAAGAATTACATTACATATTGAGTCAAAGTCCAATGACCATTTGTATCATCATCTCATTAAAAGTTCTTAAAGAGTTGTATCAAGTACACATACCAAGCAGGAGAGCAGAGGATGTTCGAGAATGAGAGTCGAAAGCAAGTCATTTGGATAATTGCATATATTTCTTACAAAGGAAGTCGGATAAAAAGGAGGTTAGTGGAAAAAACGAAGGTTGTTATTTCAAGTGCACACGAAGGTTGTTATTTCAAGTGCACCCAAACATGTTACATTTGAGGAGTTTCACAGGAGCTTAAACAGAAAGCACTTGAATTGAGGGAAAAGTGCCAAAAAAGTCATAAACCTTTTGCATTAGTGCCAATTTAATCCTAAACCTTTTTTTGGTGCCAATTCAGTCCTAAATCTTTTGCATTGATGCCAATTTAGTTCTAAATCTTTTTTTGGCGCCAATTTAGTCCTAAACCTTTTGCATTGGTGCCAATTCAGTCCTAAACATTTTGTCTTTGTGCCAATTCAGTCCTTCTAGCCAATTTTGACCGGATTTTGGTGACGTGGATATTGACCGATCGGCGGCCGGTCACCGCCGATCACGTGGAAAACTTTAATAATATTTTAATTTTTTTTTGAATTTTTATTTATTTTTTTTTCTCTCCCCTCCCTCCTTCCTCCAGCCGGTCGCTGGACCGGCGACCGGCCTCTGACGAGGGCAGCCTTGCACTGGGCGAGGTCGGGCCTCGTCCAGCCATGGCGAGGCTCGAGCCCTCATCGGCGACCTCCGGCAAGGGCTCAAGCCTCACCATGGCTAGGCGAGGCCCGATCTCGCCGGCGGCAAGACAAGGCACGACCTCACCGGATCTGGCGAGATCGGGCCTCACCCAGCCATGGCAAGGCTCGCCTTCGCCGTTGCCGGCGAGGCTCGCCCTCGCCAGCCGCTGGGCGAGGCCCGACCTCGCCGGATCTGGCAAGGTCGAGCCTCGTCAGCGACTGGGCAAGGCACGACCTCGCCAATGGCCGGCGAGGCTTGCCCTCACCGGCGCCGGCCTCTGGCCTCTGGTCGGTCGCCGGTCCGGCGACTGGCTGGAGGAAGGAGGGAGGGGAGGGAAAAAAAAAAGAAAAGAAAGAAAATAAAATAATAAATAAAAATTCAAAAAAATATTAAAATTGTTCACGTCAGCGCCGGTGATCGGTCGGCGTCTACAATAGCAAAACCCAGCCAAAATTGGCTAGAAGGACTGAATGGTACAAAGACAAAAGGTTTAGGACTGAATTGGCACCAATGCAAAAGGTTTAAGACTGAATTGACACAAAAAAAAAGTTTAGGACTAAATTGGCACCAATACAAAAGGTTTAGGACTTTTTGGCACTTTTCCCCTTGAATTGAATAGGCAGAGTGAAAAGTTATGCCATGGATTCATGTACTTTTAAGCTAAGCTTTGGCTCCATCCGTTTTGCTAAAAAATGAATTATTTGGAAATAAAAGTTTTTAGAAATATCATTTATATTGCTTATAAATATAAATAAATGAAAGATATTTTCATTATTCACGAAAGATGTTTAAACATAAACTGTTATCGAAAATGAAAACATCTTTCTCTTTCTAATTATTTCTAGCAATACAAGCAATCATTTTTAGGAAAATATTTTTCCAATTATTTATTTTTTGTGAAACAAACCAAGCCTAATCAATGAAAATGCCATCAAGAAAAGCCCCACCCGAAGAAAAATAATGATCAATTCCATTAAAATTATCAAACTGGTGCCTTCGAGACAATCTATTCCAAACCAAATTTTGTTTTTCAAATAACTCTCAAACTGATACCTCTAATCCAAATTTACTATCCATTAGCATTTCGTTCAATATCATATCCAAATACGTGAATTCTTCACGTTGCATTTTTTATTCACCACGTCAAGTACGTGTTGCAATCATACGTTGTGTGTGACATGTAAGTACTTTAATGAGATACTAGCTAGAATGTTAATGAAGGGTAAATTTAGGTCAAAGTACCAATTTTATAAATTCTCGTGAGACAAAACTTAATTTGAAGTTAACGTGTCCTAGGTACAAGTTTTGGATTTTTAACGGTATTAACCAAAAAAAAAAAAAGGGAACCAAGAAACCCTTTAGTCCAGACGTCCTCATTCACGCATCAAACTGGTCAAATCGCTGCAATGATAGAGAAAGGAGAAGAACGAAAATTCAAATTTCCTTGACGCTGCGTTGCGTCAACTAGGAATGACGTGAAGAAAGATTGTTCAAACTAAAATATTTATTTATCCGGTGTCCTGAGGGAGAAAAGCGCGACATACAGAGGGGATAGGAGAATCGTCCATACACCCCTTTCGGAACGAACCTCTCTAACTTGGAATTGGAATCACAGATGATTCTGCCCCGCTAGCATCCCAGTCATATTCATCAAGGCACTCGGACCCCCGCCCTTCCTCTTCCAACTTTCCTAACCGCTTGATCAGTTTTTCCTCAAATTCATCACGCAAATGCTTCCGCGGAATGGTTTTGTCCGCTCCCCCCTGTCCCCAAACGCCCACTAGCGCCTTTTCGTTCCTCGAGCCATCCAAGAGGTCAAACGCTTCTTTTAGAGAAGCGTCGTCTGGTCCCCATAGTTTAAGGCCTGAGTACGGTTCCCCATCCAGCGTGAGACCGTCCTCAAATCTACCCATCTCGTGCAATTCTTTCACTTCAGTCATAAGGTCACTCCCAACATCCACCACCTTGGAAGGAGAAAGGAAACGCACCATTGTAACTGGTCTGAACTTGGCGACTCGATCCTCCAGTGTTTCTCCTTTAAAATAGTCAGCAGCATTAGTTAGTGTCATACCAGCAGTGCCTTCTTCCGATCCATTGACCAAGTTGAACCCTGTCCAATCTGGTCCAGTTTGATCACCTATATGCTTCAGGAAGGTTTTGTCCACTCCCCACTGTTGAGCAGGACGCACTAGGAGCACCCTGCCGCCACAGTTGATCTCCCAGGAGATGAGCCTTTCTGGTTGAGAAGCTTGTCCCACTAGTTCACCTGGTCGTATTTCGAAGCCTGGGTCTTGTTCCACATCCAGCGTGAGACCGTCCTCAAATCTACCCATCTTGTGCAATTCTTCCACTTCAGTCTTAAGGTCATTCACCTCATTCTCCAATATGAGAGGAGAAAGGAAATGCCCCTCTTCAAGTTTTCGTCCTACCCTGTGGACTCGATCCTCCACCGATGCTACACTTTGCATCCAAAAGTCAACTTCTTCCTTCCTTTTCTTTCCTGGTCGCCTCTCTTCCTGCTCTAGTTCGAAACTTACGTCAGCCTTCTTGGCCGACAACATTCCCATAGTCCTTTTCAGAGAACCCATCTTCCCTTTGACTTTGTTGGTGTCGCTGCTGACCTTTCGAACCAAATCGACGGCATATTGGACGCCGTCCAGAATTTTGGTGGCATCCATTGGAAGACTGCTGAGAGCATTAGGGGAAAAATGTTGCCAATCAGTATTCCAAGTACAAAACTTTTTAGCTTTCAGAATATATATTTTGACTTATATCCAATGATCGAGTACCTCAGTTTTTTGGTGTGTTAACTGTTAATTAGTATTCGAAGTGCAAGACAAAAACAAAAGTGGAAGGACTCTAAAAAAAGAAAGAAGCGTACAGCCACGATTTGGGTAGTCCTGGTGAAATTTGCTAGGGGAAAACCGGCGGGGATATAAAACTACTTAATTCGCTTGGGTGGCTGACTCAACATGCAATAGTCTTCATGTGGTTGTATGAAATATGCTGTGCCATAATCTACACATATAAAATTATTCTTTTTTAGATCAGTTTCCCAAAGAAAGCAAGGCAAAATTATTCTTAAAATTAACTTATTGTCTGAAAACAAGGAATTAATTGATATAAGAAAATCAAATGAAATATGGCCAAGCTATCAGTGTATTATGGGGTAATGAAGCATTCGAAATAGATTGCTTTTTCCTTTAATAAACATAGTTTCATTAGCTACTGAATCAATTATACCAGCAATTTGAGATAGATCAAATGTGTCAAGGACATTAACAAAGGAAGACATCAACAAAACAAAAATATAGCAAAGAGGACTAGAGAGAGTAAGAAATGCTATATGTATTATGAAAAACATAAAACCAAATGATGTGACAAGTGTTATTGATCAATAACACTAGAGAGAGTAAGAAAGGCATTCTTTGCATCAGATCCAACTTTTGAAATAAAAGATGACACAGGTGATTGCTGTGATTTTACATCATTTAGTAAAGAGAGTAAGAATTCATTCACTCCGACCCTATTGATCAACATTACACACGGAGCCCACCAAATTCAGCAGTACACATGGATTCAAAGTCCGTGCACCTGATCTATGCAATGACTTTCAAGTTTGATAGCATCTATTTAATAAAGTTATAACTGAGGATATGAACCATGCACTAATAGAGGAAAAAGTGAAGCAGGCTATGTTCCAGTTAGGTGCCTTAAAAACTCCTGTACTTGATGGCTTTGCAGGAATCTTCTTTCAGACTTTTTGGGATGTAGTGTAGTTGGGCCTTTAACAGCTAAAGAAATCATCGGTTTCTTCCATGCAGGTCAGCTTCCTTCTATAATGAACTTGACAAATATCATTTTGACACTCGGAAATCGAGTCCCTGAGGAGTTTTATCACTTAGATTTGGTCTGTGTAGCTTTGTGACCAGAATCATATAACAATCCTCGCTAATAGTCTAAATCTTTTTCTTCCGGACATCATCCCCCCTAATCAATGTGCCTTTCGTCAGTTTTACACAATTCCAAGACAATATTGTGATTGCTCATGAACGTTTTCATTAGATATTGAGAACAAGGGACTCAAAGAGTGGTGTGCCGCTACAACCGGTATGAGCAAGACCTATGATAGTGGGGGTATTCAGCAAAAAGTCATTGAAAAAACGGGTTTTGATCCTATATGGATCAAATGGATCATGACTTGTGTATCAACTTATAAATAATAGACTAGTTAGAAATAGGAAAGAGTTCAGCATCGCAAGATCTTCTCAGGTGAATAGACAAGGAGACCCCAATCTCCATTGCTATTTACAATTTTCGCTGATGTCTTGTCTGCCTAACTCGATAAGGCGGTCATCTGCATTAAAATGAAGGGTGCCAAGGTGAAAAGGAGCTGCCTCAGTTATCCCAGTCTTTTTTTGCTGATGGTTATCTGTTCTTTTTAGAAGCTTCTGGTTCTAATTTTAGGACATTGAAGGAACTTTTAGAATCTAATTACCTTGCATGAGGTCAAGAAATTAGTGTGCAGAATCTGCTGTCTTTCAGTACTGGTTCTTCCCAGAACACTAAGAAAGAAATGTGTAATGCTGTAGGTATGCCTTCTGCTGAGAATTCTGATAAATACCTGGGGTTTCCTTTAATCTGGGCCTCCGGGGGAAATCTAAATGTGAGGCAGTAAACTTTTTAAGGGATAGCATGGCTAGAAATATGCTCAGGTGGAAACGGTTATTTCTTTCTCAAGCTGGAAGAGATGTGTGTAAATGAGTAAAGAGCGTGATTTCCAACTATTAGTGGGGACAGAGGGAACAAGAAGGTAAATTCATTGCAAGAGTTGGCAGTGTCTTACTCAACCTAAATTCGTGGGAGGATAAGGATTCATATTCTTTCTGTGTTTGATGGGGCCTTGCTAATGAAACTTCAAAACTTGCCCCGAGAACAACTAAAGATTTGATGGACAGAAAAGAAATTGCACGTGTCGAATGGACCAGAGAAGGTAGGGTTCCTATACCATTCTCTATGGGTGAAGGTGCTGAAAGGAATTTGTTAGCCTAATTGCTCCTTTATTTAAGCTAAACAAAGGAGCAAGAGCTTCTGGGGGATGGACCAGTCTACTAGAAGGAATGGAGATAGTCGGACAAGGAGTAATGTGGCAAGTTTATCATGGAAAGAATGTCAGCACGTGGAATGAAGATGGCTACCAAGACTAGAGGGATGTCAATTAAAATCAGTAGGTGGAGTATGTCAGTAGAAGCATGTTAATGGAGAGCCTAATTGACAAGGAGACCAATGCACGGTACTTCTCGCCCATCCAACCAAATCTGCGCAGGGATAAGAAATTGGCTGTTCAAAGTGTCACTATCGGTGTGGGCAACTCACAGCAATATCTGCATTATATTTTTTGGAATTGTGAAGGAGATACCATGCAAGAAGGGACATTTAAGCTCACATAAATTGAATCAGAAGGCAGGGAAGACCATCTTGGTGTACTGACTCTCCTCCCAAACAGAACAACTACGGGCCATTTCTGATGCAATGGTGCAGAACAAGGCTAGCTGTTGTCTTTCTGGCAAGGAAGAACCTGTTGAGCATATGCTTGGCCTCTTTTGTTTGGAACGGTGTATTGGGCATTAAAATTGAAAGGGCAAATGTTGCCACCTTGAATGCATTGTGGACGAATTTAAGCTCCGGAGATGCAAAGTCGGTACAACAAGGTATATCTGGTCTTTCAACCAAGATTTCCTGAGCAGTTTGAATCAATCTCAGTGGAGAATATCATTAGGAAGTCCAATGAAAAAGCCAATTGGATATCATTGGCTGCTAGTGCTAATTGGAAGATGGGTCCTCGGAATCGGATTCCTTTAATGACAAGGCTTTTCCCCCATTAACAGTTTTTTTGCCTCAGGTCAACCAAAAGCGAAAGAGGTTAGCCAATCATTCACAATTGACTAGATCATGATGAATCTGTGTCAGAACAAGGGTTTCTACACTGATCGGCACGACGCAGCTTGAGTAGTAAAGCCTTGTGTAAAGAGTACACGTGTTTGGATTACTAATTGGGGGAATACTAGGCGATCCGAAACTCTTTTGGATTGAAGCATTTCTTTTGGCAAGAAAAAGAGACAAAAGCCAAACTTAGCAGCGTATCGTATCATGGTAATATGCTCATGAACTAACAGATCTACAATCTAGAAAAGAGAGAACAGACAAACGACACAACACCGGATGTAAATTTTATTTTTTTTCCGTATCTTGTGTGAAGGATGTCTGAAATAAAATCAAGAAAAGCTAGGCACAGCAATTTACCAGTAGCAGTTACATGAAGAGAGCGCAAGAAAATTTAGGGCAAAGAGAAAGAAAGCTCCAAATTTTCACCAAATTTTCCCACTAATCTAAAGCAGACTCACCTGGCAAAAGCTTGCTGATGATTCCCCGATGAAAAAATGCCCGCGACGGAGAAGCGGGAGTCCAGGAAAATGGTGGAATGAAGAGAAGCAAGAATCTTTTAGCCCAAAAAAAAAATAATTAAAAAATAAAAGAAAGAAAGGAAGCAAAAGTCTTGACTCTGAGGCATAGGGTCCACGGGGGACACCTGCCTTGAAGATGATTTTAGTTTAATTGAAAAATTTTAAGCCCCGAGATAAGATCATTCGATCATGACGTCTATACTTCTGAACATCAATCCAAGATCAGGACTCATTTCCTACCCTCCGATGCTTGCTTCTATCTTGCGGACCGATAAGGGCTTTTCCAGCATAATAGTCTTCGGGTAATCGAGAGAATAACGACCCATTATGAGCCATAAATTTTTAAAAGAGTAGACTCCACAATAATTTATAATTATTTATTATGCGATTTTTTATTGTCCAGAACATACTGTTGTTCTCACAGTTGATTAAAGACTCTCACACAATCATTTCTCGTGCAATAATCGTCAGTGATATTAGTTAGATCCTGCCAAAGATAATTAGCAATGTCGCTGTGGTCGGCGAAGGCATCACCCCCTCACCTAGAGCTAGCGAGGGCCACGAAGCCCTCAACTGTGGCTAGCGAGGGTATCTCGACCCTCGGCCCCCTCACCTAGATCCGACGACCTTCGCCAGCTATCACTAAGGTCGCGGACCAGCATAGGGACATAAGGGAAAAAAGGAAAGGAAAAAATAGGAAACAAAATCAGAAAAATTTAAAAGGATTGCAAATATTGTCAATGTCAGTGCCGGTTGTGCCACGTAGGACGGTTGTCGTCCAGGTCAATATTGCAGGTCAAAATTGACCAAAAAGGGTTGCATTAGTAAATCGTCAAAATGTTTATGACTAAATTGGCCAAATTGAAAAATAAAAAACTGAATAGGCAACCATAAATAGGTTTATGACATTTTTTGATAATTTTTCTGGTTTGTTCATACGATACTTACACTTTTCTTGCCATTTATAACCATCTTAATGTAAATTTTAACAATACTCTTATTCTTATCTGGATTATCTACGCACTGAAAGCTAATGCGGATCCGGATATTCAAGCACTTTATTAAAATAAGTGGCAAAGTTTAGAAATGATTTATTCATACAGAAACGAAAAACGATATCTGCAGCATCTAATTGCCAAGACCCGGCAATTATGAATAGACACAGGTTGTTATTAAAGACAAAAACAGGAAATCTTGATTTTTACATATAGATTATTTGTGTTGCAGGAAATAATATTTATTATTATAATCCTTTGTGTTCTCAAAACGAAATTTTTTTATGTCCGGCAACTATCAAGAGCATTGGGAAAAGTGCCAAAAAAGTCCTAAACATTTTGTATTAGTGCCAATTTAGTCCTAAACCTTTTTTTGGTGCCAATTCAGTCCTAAACTTTTTGCATTGGTGACAATTTAGTCCTAAACCTTTTTTTTGTGCCAATTAAGTCCTAAACCTTTTAAATTGGTGCCAATTCAGTCATAAACCTTTTGTTTTTGTGCCAATTTAGTCCTTCCGGTCAATTTTGATCGGAATTTGCCGACGTGGACGCCTGCCGACCGGCGGCCGGTCACCGGCGCCGACGTGGCGCTGACGTGGACAACTTTAATAATATTTTAATATTTTTTGAATTTTTATTTTTTTTCCTTTTTTTTCTTTTTTTTTCCACTTTTTTTGTCCCCCTCCTTCCTCGGCCGGTCGCGGTCCGGCGCGCTCAGGCCGGCGAGCTCGACCTCGCCGGCCACCGCGAGGGCGGCGGCCTCGCCGGCGAGGGCTAGCCTCGCCTTGGTCGGGCGAGGCTCAACCTCGCCGGATCCGGCGAGGTCGGGCCTCGCCGCGGCCTCCGTCGAGGGCTCGAGCCTCGCCCGACCAATGCGAGGCTAGCCCTCGCCGGGCGAGCAGGCCGCCGCCCTCGCCGGTGGCCGGCAAGGTCGAGCTCGCCGGCCTCGGCCTGCGGCCGGTCGCCGGACGGACCGGCGACCGGCCAGAGGAAGGAGGGGGCGAGCCTCGCCCAAGCAACCTCACCCGAGATCCGACGAGGGCTCGAGCCTCGCCTTGGTCGGGCGAGGCTCGACCTCGCCGGATCCGGCGAGGTCGGGCCTCGCCCAACCATGGAGAGGCTCGAGCCCTCACCGGAGGCCGCGGCGAGGCCCGACCTCGCCGGATCTGGCGAGGTCGAGCCTCACCCGACCAAGGCAAGGCTCGCCCTCGCCAGAGGCCAGAGGTCGGCGACCGGCCAGAGGACGGAGGGGGGACCAAAAAAAAAAAGTGGAAAAAAAAAGAAAAAAAAGGAAAAAAAATAAAATTGAAAAAATATTAAAATATTATTAAAGTTGTCCACGTCAGCGCTACGTCGGCATCGGTGACTGGCCGTCGGCCGTCAAGCGTCCACGTCGGCAAATTCCGGTCAAAATTGACCGGAAGGACTAAATTGGCACAAAAACAAAAGGTTTAGGACTGAATTGGCACCAATTTAAAAGGTTTAGAACTTAATTGGCACCAAAAAAAGGTTTAGGACTAAATTGGCACCAATGCAAAAGATTTAGGACTGAATTGACACCAAAAAAAGGTTTATGACTAAATTGGCACTAATGCAAAAGGTTTAGGACTTTTTTGGCACTTTTCCCCAAGAGCATTCGAAGAAAGAAAGGTTCTTTATACATTTCTTAGGTTCTAATCAAATGACATGGAAACTTTGATTGTGCTAAGTGCGCCAAAATTGTTAACTATCAATAATGGGTGTGTTTGTTTCACTGAAAACTTCATGATAAATAAAAATATTTTTCATGAAATTCATTTTCAAGGAAAATAGTTAGTTTTCATATGTTTGGTAACCGAGAGAAAGTGATTTCTTATTGTTAGAAGAGGAAGTCGTTTTCCAAATATAAGCTAGCTTGTTGTTTTCAATAGGAAAAGTACCAAAAAATTCCTAAACCTAATGCATTTATGTCCATTCAGTTCTAAATTTTTTTAATTGTACTAATTGAGTCATAAACCTTTTGACAATTTGTCAATATATTTCATCTAGCCAATTTTGGCTGGAAATCGCTAATATGGATGTTAGCCATCTTATGTGGCACAACTGATGCTGACGTAGACAATTTTTAAAAATTTTATATTTATTTTATTTTTTCTAAAATTTTTATTACTTTTTCCTCTCTTTTTTCCCAACTATGGACTAACAAGGTCGCTAATCATAGGCAAGGTTTGAACAAGGGCATCAGCCCCTTACCAGCCACAGGTGAGGGCGTTGGGCCCTCACCTAGATCTAGGAAAGGATTGTGACCAGCGAGGGCGTCGCGACCCTCACCTGTGGCCGGCGAGGATTCAGAAGCCCTTGCCCAGACCACCCTCACGGGGCAAAAGTTGTAGAAAAATAAAGAAGGGAAAGAAAAGAGAAAAAAAAGAAAAAATATTAAAAAATTCAAAAATTTTGTAAATTTGTACGTGTCAATGCCAGTCGTGCCATGTAAAACAGTCAATATCTATGTTAGCGGATTCCAATCAAAATTGGTCAGATAGACTACATTGACAATTCGTCAAAAGGTTAGGACTCAATTGGTACAATTGAACAGTTTATAGCTAAATTGGCATAAATGCAATAAGTTTAGGACTTGTTTAGTACTTTTCCCGTTTTCAATACATAGAAATTTTTTTTTGTAGATTAATTAGTTTTTCATCATCAAAACATCAAAATGTCATAAAACAATTGTCCGAAAATAATTTTCTTTCAAACAAACGGATCATAAGTTTTCTGAATATTCATAGACATTATTGGTTTATCTATTAAATTCGAGCTTGTAATTGCGACAAATACATGCGCATGCTATGATTTTCTAGGTTTCTTGTAGAAGCTGAGGTTACGGCATGTGGAACGTTCATAATTGTATCATGAAGAAGCTCAAAAGACGGTAGGGAAGTCAGCAAGTGAATTGAACGGAGCGGATTATGAGAAAGCGAAAAGCGACGAACGTTTACATTACTAATTAGTGTCTTCTTTTTATCAATCCTATGACTATTACTTATAATTCGTTTACTTTTCATGGATTTGACAGGATAATGAGGATGAGGATTCCTTTCTTAAAGAAATTAGCGCGCTGGTTGATTCAACTTATATTTTCTGTATAAAAGCAGGAGAACTAAATCTTCCAAGAATGGAATGATAAAAATTATAGAAAAATATCAACACAAACGTAATCCAGAATTCCTTACCAAAAAAAAAAAAACGTAATCCAGAAAATAGGGAAAATTGTTCAAAAAATCCTAATTCTATTTTACAATGGCCAATTCAATCATAAACCTTTTTAATTGTGCCGATTTAGTCATAAACCATTTAACCATTGGCAAATTTAGTCATAAACCTTTCAATTATACCAATATAGACATAAACCTTTTGGTGATTTATCAATTTAGTCCTTCCGGAAAGAATATAATCATTTATGCATGAAAGGATAAATGATACCATCCCTTGCTCAGCTCGAGGACGAGAGAATTCGTGACTCACATACCGCTGATATCGGGTCAGGCTTTGCTTCCTAAGGTAATGTTGAGTCATTTACTCGTCCGGATGATCTACAAAATACAGGGCTCACAAACATATGGTGGCAGATGGTAATACCTTTCGATAGTAGGTTCTGGTTCACCGCAGCGCATGGAGTCAAGGATAAATGCTAATGTACGTGGGAACATGGCGGGATGTAGTCGTTTCTTTGGCTCCTTTTAAGGAACTGATTGAAGATTGGAAAATGGTTCTCCGATTATATCAAATCTGAAATGCTCCCAAACGAGACTCTAAAAAAATCACCTCATTGTCGTAAATAATTATACGGATGCCATTGACTGGTATTCAGACCTCATTCGGCTTGTTTTGTTTGAAGGATGTATGATCGCTCTTGTAGATTATGGGCAAAACCCTTTTTCATTCGGGTTTTGCCGGAATAAGTCGTTAGAGCTGTTAGATTGAGAGTTCTTGGACGAGTTGTATCAAGCACACACACGAAGGAGGAGCATGCATATCTTCTCCACCGTTACTGTTGTTAATGATGAAGAAGT